TTTGAGTAACTCCACCTCCAGAGGCCTTCTCGGCAGTCTTCGTTTCACCTTTTATTTTAACACTGACGGTAACATTTCATCACTTGAAGATGCAACATCTTTCATCTCTTGGGTTATTAATATCTTATCACCTCTTGAAGTAACCCCACCTACAGAAACTTTCTTGGAAGTCTTTTTTGCACCTTTTCTTGGAATACTTACAACTGACACTTCATTAGCAACATCAGATTTAATATCAATGTCACTTGACGATGCAAGATCTACTATCTCCGAGGTTATTGATTTCTTCTCAGCTTTTGAAGTAGCCTCATCAGGAAAGGCTTTCTTGGGAGTTTTCTTTCCACTTTTTCTCTTCGTTCTGACACGTGATCTTTCATCAACAATTTCATCAACAATATCATCATCAGATTTTCTCTCATCACTTGAAAATACAACATCTATAATCCTTTTGTGGAAGGGTATACTATTTTTTTCAGGTTCTTTTTCTAGTGTCTTAGTGGTGCTTGTTATAGATGAGGCTTTGTGATTTTTATCCTCAGACAGTACATTATTTGTTTCAATCGTGCTGCCACAAAGGTCTCCAGAAGTTGGTTCATCTTCTTTTCTTTCTCCAGATATTGACAACAGTTGCTCCTCACTTTTGTTATCTACATGGATCATTGGAGATTTCTCTAAGCCTCTATTTGTTTTTGTGGTTTCCTCATCACTTTGAAAAATCACTACCTCTTCATCAGTCACTACACCTGTCACCTGAGACTTGTCGACATTCATAGAATCAGGCGATTTTATTGCTTCAGGTGTGCGTTTGTTAGTGGGCAAAGCATTTGCTTCATTGCTCAAGCTTTCACCAAGTGAGTCTTTATCAAATAAACTATTGTCTTTGACTGTATTCTTTGATTGTCCACCATCACTGTCCGAGCTTTTCTTAGGAGTTATTTCTCTTAAATGCCTGATTCCTATTTCCACCATCTGCTCTACATCATCGGAAGATGCTGCAGATTTGAAGACAACCTCATCTGCACCACCATCATCCTCATCTACTCCATCATACTCACACTGGGCATTTTTCTTTTTACTGTCAACTTTTCTGGCAACTTCTTTGGATTTTAACGACTCTTGTATGTCATCATGGGATTGCTTTAGTTTTTTCTTAGACACTGACCTAACCTCCTTTGACTTTGTTTTTTTTTTCATCGGAGTAAGTGTTGGTTTGCTGCCATCACAACTTTCTGACAATCCATCTTGATTTATTTTTGGCTGATGACTTAACAGCGACTTTTTTTTTGGCTTTGAAACAAATTTAACAGTATCTGAAGCTGAACTTGAATCGTGTGAATTGGGAACAAAATCATCTGTAAAATGTAAATTGAGGATATTCTTTTTTTCATTGTCACTATCATGATTTACTGCAGTCTCTTCTACTTCCATAATTTGATTATCTTTAAGTGGAATGTCAACAATTTTAGTTTCTGTGTTAATGACAATAATTGTTTCGGTTGGTATTCCAACATCAACAGCACTCCCTTCTTTTTCCTCTTCAGTTACAATTTCTTTATTTTTATCTCCATTTATCTGTTCAACATCAATTGTCGCCATTTCTTCATTTTTCTCATTATCATCATCCTTCTCACTACTTTTATCCATGTTCATGCCATCCGGCTCTAATATTTCCTCACATTTCTCATTGATTTTGTTTGAGTTTCGTAATTTTTTATCTTCATCGCTTTCTTGATGACCATTTATAAGTGACTTCTCCACAACTCTTGCTTCATTGGGCTCCAGAGTTTCAGCATCATCATATTTAATTTCTTCTTCCTCTACATCAGCAGTGTTTTCTGCGATTATTTTTGATTTACTCTTTAGTTTCTTTTTCCTTTTTTTATCAACTTCCTTCTCATCCATGATAGAGATTTGTTTTGGGGCTGGTTTCATCACTATCTGGGCATCACCTTGATCTTGACTTCCTTTTTCATCTAATCTGGCTGATTTCTTTTTCTTTTCTTTTAGAGTTGTAGTCTTTCCTTTTCCCTCCTTAGCTTTGATTTTTTTATTACCTTTCTTAATTCCACTGCCAGATTCCAGTAATTCAGCTCCAATTTTTGTATCATCTCTATCTGCAATAATGACTTTCTTCTTCTTTTTCGTTGTTTTCTCAGTTGAACTCCTTTCTTCTGTTCTGGATGTACTGCACACCATTCTTGCAGTTTTCTTTTTTCTTTTCAACTTTTTTATATTCGACTCTTCTTCGTCTTTCATATCACTATCTACAGACAAGTTTGTTTCACTATTTAGCATCTGAACAACCTTGGCTTTTTTCTTTGACTTTGAGGAGGATTTCTTCATTTT